GAAATCATTCTAATATGCTGATTTGATGCTCAATAAACATTTATTATTATGATGTTGAAAATAGCAGTGCAGGTCAAAGTTGTTGTGAAAACTTTGATACAATTTTTTTTAATTGCTTCATGAATTAAAAGTTCAAAAGAGAAATCTTTTCCAAACAGAAATCTCTTGTAACATTATAAATACCACTTTTGATCAATTTAATGTGCCTTCGGTGAATAAAAGTATAAAATCTAAAATAATAAAATCTTAGTGACCCCAATCTTTTGAATGGTAATATAGTCATATAGTCAACTTTCATGGTGTTTAAAGTCCCCATTTAATTTCATTATATGGAAAGGAGCAGCATGAACATTCTACAAAACATCTAATTTTGTGCTTTACAGAAGAAAATGAGTCATACAAGTTTGGAACGATATGAGGGTGAATAAATTACATTATTTTAATATTTGGGTGAACTATCCCTTTAATAACCCATTATAATCTGCACATCCTCCCTTATGCAGATCTGCAGGGCTGGAGGAGTGATTATAGGTGCGCCTGCATTCTGATGAATGCAACACTCTTGCAGATTAGAGCTGTTATGCAACTCTTTCCGTGTCCTTTGGTTCTCATTCAGCTCCTCTGTGTCAGGTACAGAGAGCATGTGCTCTCTGTGGTGAAAAGTATGGTGTGTTTTGGTGCACTGGATCCTTTGGGGTTTCTCCTTTTGATTTCATGGTATACACTTTAACTCTCTGCTTAAAGGCGTTGAGTTCTGTGTGGAAGACGTCCAAGTATCCCTCCTGCCCTGCCTTAAAATAGAAGCAAAGCAAGATTAAAAATGATTCAGAATGCATTCAGTAAAAATATGAATGAGGTTTATCATATGACATGGATGAATGCGTGGACATGAACTTCATCTGTGCCCATATTGCTTGTTTCCTGGCCTCAGGCTCTCAGTTATGTCATGTCTCTCTCCAGTGGTCACTGCCATTATTGCACAACACTCACATGGACTCAGATTGACTGCACTACCAGTAAATTCAGAATAATTACGATTTTGTTTAATGTTGTTCAAAGAAGTCTCTTCTGCTCACCAAGGCTGTTACAGTAAAAACAGTAATATTGTGAAATATTATTACAATTGAAAAGTTTTCTATTTCAAATAAATGCTGTTCATTGAACTTTCTATTCATCAAAGAACCATTATAAACAATTGAGCACCAATAATACTTGATAATAGCTGAGCATCATATCAGTATATTAGAATGATTTCTGAAGGATCATGTGACACTGAAGACTGGAGTAATGATGCTGAAAATTCAGCTTTGATCACAGGAATAAATTACATTTTAATGTATATTAAAATAGAAAGACGTTATTTTAAATTGTAATATTACTTATTACTATTTTTATTGTATTTTTGATCAAATACATGCAGCCTTGGTGAGCATTCCTTCAAAAACATTTATTGTTGGACTTTATTGTACCTCTACGGCACAGTAAAGAGATGTGTAATATCTTGTCTAGGACTGTCACTAACAATAGTATTAGTGACAGTTTTCAGTCAATTATTCTGATGATTAATCGAGTAATCAAACTTTTTTGTGAACAATAGACTTTAAAATGACTTAAAATACATATATAATAGCAGTGAGACAATAATAATTGGTTCAAATAAAATATGAAAAGCAAGTAATCATATGGTTTTACTGAACAAAACAGTTAAAATGCATAATTTAATAAAACAATATAATCATAACTTATGTACATTATGTATTATACCTAATGCCAACAGAGGGCGCCAACGTTTTTGCCTGTTTTTACACTTTACAGCGAGATCTAAGACTTATTGTCTAAACAACTTTTAATTCAAATGTCCACTTAATCTTTAATATTTGGCCACTTTATGATAGAAATGCTACAGCCACTGTAAATTCTTAAACAAGAACATGTGGACATCAAAACAAACAAACTAAAACGAGGGTTTATACTTTTAATCTGAAGTCCCAATGAACGGTCAGCATATTTAGAAATATAATGCTGTAATCTCCTGTGTTGTCGTAGGTTTATAAATGATTTACCTGATAAATCTGATAGAATAGTGCACATTGTTCCCAGATGAACGGTATAAGCGACTCAGACTCACAGCATATGCAGAGATGGAGTTTGAGAGCCGTAACCTATATGCATATAAATAAAGCGCATATTAAAGCCGCAGCGCATACATTTATTTAAAGGGGTCCTGTTATGCTCTTTTACAAAGTCTTGATTTTGTTTTGGGGGTGTACTAGAACAGGCTTTCATACTAGGTTGTTCGAAATCGGCGGCTGGTCGGGAAATGTCACGCCCCTTAGCATAGCCGCCTGTCAGCTTCAGTGTAAATATTGCATCAAAATCAAATAAATTTGAGCGCGATTTAAACCTAGATGATTGTAAACACTCTAAGTTCGTCTGGCTTGGGAAAGCTAGCGTGTCTCCAACATAGTGATAACACTCGTTGCCTTCTCTAGTGCAGCTCAACCAGGTCTCGTCCCATTCGTCGATATTTGTGATATCACAAATCCCGGAAAATATGCGTTGTAGTCCAAACGAGTTGTTCGTTGTAGTTTTTGAAAAGTGATTTCTGTTAAATAAAATATCTCCTTTTGAATTTTTAAAATCTACTTTTGACAAAAATTTGAATTGAATTTTGAATTGACTGAGCTTTGTAACTTCGCAGTTCTTTTTTATGCTCAAACATCAACATCACAGACTAACTAAAGTTGAAAAAGTGAAAAAGCATAATAGGACCCCTTTAACTGAATCACAGCCTTTGTGAATTTACAATAGCACTGTGCTTTATCATGATTTTTAAATGGTTTTAATATTTCGTGCAGCCTCAGAAAACGGTCTAATAATACTTTTCATGGATGCTTGTCCGTGGAATGCTTTTGAGGATTTTTTTTATTATTGAGTACTCTTTTCATTCGTCGGTATTTGTGATATCACAAATCCCGGAAAATATGCGTTGTAGTCCAAACGAGTTGTTCGTTGTAGTTTTTGAAAAGTGATTTCTGTTAAATAAAATATCTCCTTTTGAATTTTTAAAATCTACTTTTGACAAAAATTTGAATTGAATTTTGAATTGACTGAGCTTTGTAACTTCGCAGTTCTTTTTTATGCTCAAACATCAACATCACAGACTAACTAAAGTTGAAAAAGTGAAAAAGCATAATAGGACCCCTTTAACTGAATCACAGCCTTTGTGAATTTACAATAGCACTGTGCTTTATCATGATTTTTAAATGGTTTTAATATTTCGTGCAGCCTCATAATACTTTTCATGGATGCTTGTCCGTGGAATGCTTTTGAGGATTTTTTTTATTATTGAGTACTCGAATTGAATCTAGGATCTGTGACAGCCCTAATCTTGCATAAAACACCACTGGGAAAAGCCCAGCAGAGGCTGAAGGTGATGTCTGCAGCATTGCAGTACACTGCAGATGTGAGCCTTACTTTGGCTTTCTGAAAGAACTGACGGAAACAGCCTCGTGGGTCTTGCTGAGAGTTGCGGGCCATTTCCAGAATAAACTGCATGACGACTGCCTGATGAGCCACCTGCTCCATTAAGGCCTCTTTCTGCAGAAGATCCAGACAATCGGGATCAGTAGTAGGTCATGTGGGGACACAGTGCATAGTGCATACTGCAGAAACAGTACAGGTGGTATGTTATTTTGAACGTGGCCAGAAAGAGCACTCACTTGCACTGCCTGCAGATGGAAGCACCACATGATCAGGTAATTGGCCGTTTCTTCACAGATGAGATGGTGGTACTCTGCTAGAAAGCGCTGACTATCATCCCACCTCCTCAACATACCTGTCCAATCAGAACAGAGAGGACAACCTCCATTTAAATGAACAATCTCCATTAATAAACATCCAAATCAAACAAGCTTCCATGACTTACCAAAATATTTCAAGAGTTCTTCATTACGCTGGATGAAGCTTATGTTCTTATCATGATCGGATTCATTAGGCCAAGACTGTGAACTGTTTATTATACTCTAGAAAAAAGAAAAAAAAAAGTTTGATGGTGGTAAATCCACAAATGGGCCACAAAAGAGTCCATTACTGCTGGTACAACACTGTACTAGTTATTTTGTATCGGCTCTTAATTTATATACTTAAATTAAGTGTGATATCAATAGGATGTCACTTCTGAAATATGCTGAGGACATGGCTTTGGTAACTTGTTTGACATGAGCAATCCCTGGATAGTGGATTACTCCACAGGTAGTGGAGCAGGTCGAGGCCTTTACATATTTGAGCACTGAGATTGACAGGCATCTATCATTTACACAGCAGGCGAATGGTTTCTATAAGAAGGCTCAACAGCGATGATCTCTTTTGAGAAGGCTGAAGGGTTTCACATTTTTACCAATACATTTCCATGACTTTTGAGACAATATCCATGACCTAATGTTCAATTATTTTACAACAAGAATAAAAATCTATTCAAATTTATCATAGCATGCGTTAACTAAAATAAATGCTATTAATGCTACTTGTTTGCTTTCGATTTGTTTTAATAATAAGTACAAGCTGCAACTGTACCAGAACGAAAATGGAAAAAGGACAGGCTGCATATCTCTCTTCAAATGTTTAAAGACTCTCTTAAATCTTACTAGACTGCTGCTAAGTCTGCAAAAGCTGCATACTTTTCTAATCTAATTGAAACGAATCACTCTAAACCTAAGGTTTTGTTTTCAATTATTCAATCTGTTGCAAATCCCTCTGTTAACACCTTGCCTGTTGCCTCTGATGCTCTCTGTGAAAGCTTCTTGAGATATTTTAGTGACAAAATTACCCCACTTTAACTTTAACTATCTCTCCTATCATGTCATCTGCCTCTGCCTTTTTGGATGCTTTCGAACCTATCAACCTCCAGGAACTGAAGGAGGTGATTGACAAGCTTAAACCTTCATTCTGTTCTAGCGATATCATTCACCCGAGATTTTTAAAATTAATTATCGATTCGATTGGGCCAGGTTTGGTGTCTCTTATTAATAAGTGTCTCCAAACTGGCTCTGTTCCTGCCAATCTTAAAGTGGCTACGGTCACTCCTCTGCTCAAGAAGTCTTCACTGGATCCTTCAGTCCTAAAAAATTACCTTTCCTTACCTTTCATTTAAAAAGTTTTGGAGAAAATTGTGCTGAATCAACTTCAACGTTTTCTGACAAGTATTTATATTTATGAGGTTTTTCAATCTGGTTTTAAGTCTGCTCACAGCAGAGTCTGCCCTTTTGAGAGTGTTAAATAATATTTACCTCTCTACTGACTCCGGAGACTCTGGGGTTCTTATTCTTTTAGATTTACCGTAGACCACTCCACACTATTATCTAGATTAGAGTCTTGGGTGGGTCTAAAAGCAAACGTTCTGAAATGGTTTCAGTCATACCTGTCTGACAGAAAGTTTTTAGTGAAGCTGGGTAATTTCACCTCTTCTCCTGCACCTCTGACCTGTGGCGTTCCACAAGGCTCTATTTTAGCTCCCTCTCTATTTTCTCTTTACATGCTACCTCTGGGCTCTATTCTAAGGAAACATGGTGTGTCTTTTCATTTCTACGCAGATGATACACAAATCTATCTACCAATCAATAGAAAAAATTCCACTGCGATTTCGTCTCTTCTGCAATGTTTAGAGGAGGTTAAATCATGGCTAGCCCAAAATTCCCTCTTCCTAAATGAAGACAAGACCGAGGTAATTGTTTTCGGTCCAAATGAGAACTTTCAGTGTATAAGCCCAGAGTTGGAAAGTTGATCCGTTTTTAGATCCTCACGTGTGCGGAACCTAGGTGTTCTTGTTGACCATCATTTAAAATTTGATAAACATATCTCTTCTGTTATCGGATCCTGGCCCATTCAGCTATAAGTCCTGTTCTGATGGTGCTCAGGAGTGGGTAGTTACCCACTCACCCTTTCCACCTTTAAAGTCCCCCCCCCATTGGACATGTGCATCGAAAGGAGATATTGGACAGACGTTTCATAGTTCATTGTTTTATATAGCTAAATTGCCTTTGATAGCAACATGCAAGAAGATCTCTACTTGTATACTTGACCACCTTACTAAGTAACTGGACATAAGCTCAGTACACTTTTAAAAATAAAGGTTCCAAAATGTTCCTTATTGGCATTGTTGGTCATGAAGTATCTTCAACATTGCAACCTTGGAGCACTGGAACTTTCATGGTTCTTTAGGGTGAACCAAAAGGTTGTTTAGATTAAAATGTTCTTCAACCTAAAAAAAATCATGGTTCTTTTAAGAACTGTTCACTAAGGGCTTTCACACCAGGTAGTTATAAGAGCTCGGTTATAGGAACTAGCCACCGAACGAAATTTTCCCCTAGGGCTATTTACCTGGTTGCATTCGCACCGCCAGTAGGAACTCTGAAGCCATCTGACAACAACGTCATTTAAGTTTGTCAGTCAGCAACTTCAAAAACTAGAGGATGGAGGACAGAAAAGTACCTGGACTTTGCTGTTGGTCCATCTATCTCTATTTTCCATGTTCGTGGAGTAAGTTTATGTAAAACTGTGTCTCTACGTGGCTTTTTAAAAATGATGGGTGCCGATGTTTCTTATGCAATATGTTCCCATTTTTTTTAGGAATTTACCATTTTAATTATAGGAAATGCCTTTTGAGAGGACTAAATTAGCGTAGTAGGGTGTAACCCAGCACAAAATGAACTATGTTGATTGGCCACAAACAAAAGTTGTATAAACACACAGTTTATGTATACTTACTCCACGAACATAGAAAACGGCAATAGATGGACCAATGCTGAAGTCCAGGTACTTTTCTATCCTCCAGCTGCTGATGTTGTTGAATGGCGTCACTGTAAGCTGGCTTATGTCACTCAAGAATTCCTGGTGCATAGTGATGCAAGTGCAACCAGGAAAATAGTGGGCCCTAGGGGAAAATGTAGTTCTTGGGGGACTGCCTTGGCTAGTTCATAGAACTGAGTTCCTTTAAAACCAACCAGTGTAAAAGCCACCCCCCCCACACACACACAAAAAAACAAAAACATATTTGATCTTAGTGTGAAGAACAATAATAATAAAAAAAAATGTAAGAACCTTTTGTGGAATGGAAATGTTCCATGGACGTTAAAGGTTCTTCTTAGAACAATAGATGCAAATAAAGGACTTTTAAACCTTCATTCTGTTCTAGCGATATCATTCACCCGAGATTTTTAAAATTAATTATCGATTCGATTGGGCCAGGTTTGGTGTCTCTTATTAATAAGTGTCTCCAAACTGGCTCTGTTCCTGCCAATCTTAAAGTGGCTACGGTCACTCCTCTGCTCAAGAAGTCTTCACTGGATCCTTCAGTCCTAAAAAATTACCTTTCCTTACCTTTCATTTAAAAAGTTTTGGAGAAAATTGTGCTGAATCAACTTCAACGTTTTCTGACAAGTATTTGTATTTATGAGGTTTTTCAATCTGGTTTTAAGTCTGCTCACAGCAGAGTCTGCCCTTTTGAGAGTGTTAAATAATATTTACCTCTCTACTGACTCCGGAGACTCAGGGGTTCTTATTCTTTTAGATTTACCGTAGACCACTCCACACTATTATCTAGATTAGAGTCTTGGGTGGGTCTAAAAGCAAACGTTCTGAAATGGTTTCAGTCATACCTGTCTGACAGAAAGTTTTTAGTGAAGCTGGGTAATTTCACCTCTTCTCCTGCACCTCTGACCTGTGGCGTTCCACAAGGCTCTATTTTAGCTCCCTCTCTATTTTCTCTTTACATGCTACCTCTGGGCTCTATTCTAAGGAAACATGGTGTGTCTTTTCATTTCTACGCAGATGATACACAAATCTATCTACCAATCAATAGAAAAAATTCCACTGCGATTTTGTCTCTTCTGCAATGTTTAGAGGAGGTTAAATCATGGCTAGCCCAAAATTCCCTCTTCCTAAATGAAGACAAGACCGAGGTAATTGTTTTCGGTCCAAATGAGAACTTTCAGTGTATAAGCCCAGAGTTGGAAAGTTGATCCGTTTTTAGATCCTCACGTGTGCGGAACCTAGGTGTTCTTGTTGACCATCATTTAAAATTTGATAAACATATCTCTTCTGTTATCGGATCCAGTTTTTATCAGCTTCGTTTACTGTCTAAAATTAAAATTTTCTCACTCCTAAAATTCTAGAAATGGCTGTTCATGCGTTTGTTACGTCTCGTCTAGATTACTGCAATTCTTTATATCTAAGTCTCAAATTGCGCATCTTCAGCTTGTCCAAAACGCTGCGGCTAGACTTCTTTCAAAGTGTCGTAAACATGAACACATCACTCCAATTCTTAGATCCCTACACTCTTAAAAATAAAGGTGCTTCACGATGCCATAGAAGAACCTTTTTGTCTAAATGGTTCTATAAAGAACCTTGTCACAAAAGGTTCTTCGTGGCGAAGGAAGGTTCTTCAGATTATAAAAAGGTAAGAAAGAGATGGTTCTTTAAAGAACTTTTGACTGAATGGTTCTTTGTGGAACCAAAAATGGTTCTTCTATGGCATCGCTGTGAAGAACCTTTTGAGGCACCTTTATTTTTAAGAGTGTACACTGGTTGCCGGTTTGTCAGAGAATAGACTTTAAAATTCTTCTCTTTGTATATAAATCCCTACAAAACCTGTGACCAGGCTTTGTTGGTCTGGTCCCTCACGTTAGGCTTAAGCGTAGAGGGGAGCGTGCATTTGCGGTGGCAGGGTCACGACTTTGGAATACCCTGCCTTTAGAGATTAGAACGGCCCCTTCTCTGTCTGTTTTTAAGTCCTTGCTAAAAACTTATTTGTATTCCTTAGTGTATTGACTACTGTTTTTATGGTTATTTTTAAACGGGTTGTTTTTATTTTTGTTTGGTCTGTTTTCTGTGCATTTTTCTAATTAATCCTGCTCTTCTGTAAAGTACTTTGGTCAGCCTGGTGGCAGTCGTAAATGTGCTATACAAATAAAAATGTCAACTTGAACTTGAACAGATGTTACTCCATGCAGAGAACATATCATATTGTAATTTGCTTAACCAATATTATCAGTTAAACTCAGGGCCTGAGGTTTCAGTCTAACAGTAGTATTCAGGTACAAAAATAAACAAAAATGTAATAAACTGTACATTAAAAACAGATTAAAGTTACAAAAGTTGAGTGAGTGATTTTGTCTTTTGTTGTTTGATTAACATTAATGACAGACGGCACAGCTTTATTAGACTGCTGTCACAAGACACAATGCACAGATCCAATACTGATACACACGTGTTTTCTTTCTCAACTGTTTATATTCACTTAAGACAAACCGACTGTGTTTATGAGGATACTCGCCAGGACAGCCATTTTGACGTCATTTTGTCAAAGTGCATGTTTAAGTGCAACAAACTGCGAAAAATCTCAATATTATACTCGCCAGGTGGCTTTATGTGCACACGCTTTGGATGTGACTGAGCGCACAGAAAGAATTGAGCACTCGAGTACCGAATGGCTTAAAAAGACAAAAAAAGATTTGCAAATTACACATTTTTGTGACGATGCAACAATGACCCGATTAGTCAAGTGACAGTTCTGTCAACTGTCCCCGAAACGCGAGTGAAAGTCTCGTATCGCAGCGTGCAGCAGCTCTTGTAGTGCAGTCAAGATGTGCGAGAGAGCAATACCGCTGAATCACTCGGTCTGTGTTGATTTATTTCCTCATCTAACCTACATGCTATATTGAACAAATGTGTGCAGGAATTTCCCCTCATTTTAAACTCGAAAGCTGTGGGAATGAGTAAAACTATGCAAACTATGCACAATCCCACACCGAAAATCAGGACCTGATTAACATAATTCTATTATACAGAGATTTGTGAAATACATTTTCATGACTTTTCCAAAACTTTCTGGGTTTATTTATTTTTCCAAAACACAGATTCAACTTTTAGATCTTTATAAGTGTGCTGTAAAGAGGAAAGCAGTTTCCATGAGATTTACACAAAATTGGTGAAAAAAGCACTTAAGTTACACAATATTTATATTGTGTAAGCCTACTATCCACTGACAAAGAAAGATACTTTTTTTGAATAATGAACTTGAATGTAATTTCAGGCTGAATATCCTGCATTAATTCACATTCATTATAAGGAAAAGAGTGGCCAGGATGTTTAGCATAATGCTAGTGGTTTGCAAGAATCAACTATTATATCACACGGTTAAAAATATTTAATTTCGTTTCAGAACTAATATCCGAGTGGAAGTCTATATTTGAAAAAATATAGTACCATTCAAAAGTTTGCGGTTGGTAAGATTTTTAAATGTTTTGAAAGTCTTTGCAATGCATTTATTTGATAAAAAATACAGTAAAAATAGTAATATTGTGAAATGTTATTACAATTTTAAATAACAGTTTTCTATGGGAATATATTTTAAAATGTAACGTATTCCTATGATCAAAGCTGAATGTTCAGCATCATTACTCCAGTCTTCAGAGTCACATGACCCTTCAGAAATCATTCTAATATGCTGATTTGCTGCTCAATTATTATTGGCACTTAATTATTAATAATGTTTCTTACTATTTTCATTGTTGAAAACGAGTTAGTGGAAACCATGATACTTTTTTTCAGAATTCAAATAAAGATCAATATTTGACAAATATTTTTTAACATTATAAATATATTTACTGACATATTTGATCAATTTACTGTTCCAGTGTTGAATGAAAGTAAAATAAAAAATTATAATTAAACTTTTGAATGGTAGTGTACATTTAGCTGATCATAAGAAAGTAACACACTGTGTTCTCTTAACACTGTCCCAAAACATCACAGCCCTCTATAAGGGAAACGCAGTCGGACTGTTTCTTACAATGCAGAGATATGAATGAGATGAACACTCAATGACTTTTCTAGAGTGCTGATATGAGATACCTTGTCAAACACATCACGGCTGGCCTCAGGGCACAGAGTGGGGCTCCGTCCCAGCATCCTCTCTTTATGCCTCCACTCCTGCTCGGTCTGAGAGAGCTCCGCGGAGGAGGCCAGGGCTCGGGCGCGCTCCTGCTCCACAGACTCTGAGCTGTGGAGCTCCAAACCGCAGAGCTGGTCCTGTGCCTCGACCAGCTGCCACTGCGATGCGATCGAGGCCTTCACACAACGCTGCTGACTCAAGCACAGAGACGCCATGCTCTCCGCACTGGGCTGTGATGGGACACAGAGAGATAACGCTCACAAAACCTCGAGCAAATCATTACAGTTGGTTTTGTAACAGATTCGGTCTTCAGTGACAGTGACATTACAAACCTATTCGCGCTGAACTTTTAAACATTGAAGGATATAAAAAAATAAATAAAACTACATAGATTCAAATAGAAAATAGTTATTTTAAATTATAATATTTCAAAAACACAGTAAAAACAGTAATATTGTGAACAAATAACACATCTATACTATAATAATACATATATATTATATAAAAACTGTAATACTGTGATCAAATAATGCATTTCTATTAAAATAATACATTAATATTATATAAATAATATATAATAAATGGTAACACTTTATTTTAAGGTGTCCTTGTAACACGTTACATTTATTTACTATTATAATAACAATTATGCATAATTACATGCAAGTAACCCTAAGCCAAACCCTAACCCTAACCACCTTAACACCTTAAAATAAAGTGAAACCTTATAAATAATACATGTTCTCTAATAAGAGCAATATTAAGCCAGAATTTTTTTTATTTTACACATTTACATGTCATTCTCAGGCTTGGATATCATTATTTTAAAATTCACATATACTTTAAGAGATTGGTGGTGGATTTGTCGACCTTTAAAAACAACCGATAAACCCGGATCCATTTCTAAACACCTATATATATATATTAAACACCCACACCATATATGTATGGTGATATAAAGTTCCAGCAAGTCTGCTAGCAAAGAAGCATGTCAAAATTATAAAGTAAAATAAAATGTTCTTAACAAAGTTATAAAATGTGTTGTAAAAAATGAGTACACCTTCCTAGAAGTTACTAAATAAAACTAAATAAAAAAAAATTTCTGGTGCAAGTGAAAGGTAATTTTTGATTAACATATGTATGTTGAACTAAAACGTTTAAGGAGGAGTAATTTCTTGACAATTAAAAGTAGGGAGTCTGCTAGCAAAGAAGCATGTCAAAATTATAAAGTAAAATAAAATGTTCTTAACAAAGTTATAAAATGTGTTGTAAAAAATGAGTACACCTTCCTAGAAGTTACTAAATAAAACTAAATAAAAAAAATTTCTGGTGCAAGTGAAAGGTAATTTTTGATTAACATATGTATGTTGAACTAAACCGTTTAAGGAGGAGTAATTTCTTGACAATTAAAAGTAGGGCCTCACAATTACGACAAAAATCATAATTGTAGATTATTCTCTTGAAATTGGGATTATTAATTACGATTATCACAATTTACACTGAATGTAAATGTTTATACCATTGTTTGAAGCAACCGCATGCAAATAAACAAGCTGAAAACACTCAAACTGAAAAACTTGTAATGCTTTTCTATAGTATTAAGCCTCAAATGTCAAATATACATTGGATTAGTTTCTTCTTTAAATAAAAAAAAGTACAAATATGCTTGTTATTATAATATTATATTAAAACTAAAATAATGGAAAAACCCTACAGAACCTGTAGAAGGAAAAAAAACACATCTTAAGCACACAGAAGAATAACACAAGTGGACTTTGAACTATTAATTGCTGCTTTGAACGATTACATAATTGTGTTTCATAATTGTAATCGCGATTAGAAATTAGATTAATTGTGCAACCCTAATTAAAAGTGTTATATAACCCACTGAATCATTCTCAGACTTACTGCTAACAACAATGGAACCACTCGGGACTCATTTCTTAGCAAAAAAGAGGACAATTGTACAAGAGGAATACCAAATCATTGTTTTAAGTGTGAAAATATAGCAAAAGTAACATAGAAATTCAAAAACAATGAACTTGTGACAAAGTCCCTGAAATAACTAAGCCTTCACTTTAAGGTTTCTGTGATTTTTAAATTTTTTTGCATGGAAAAAGAGCAGGAGCATGCAAAAGTGAAATGCATAGTATTAAGCCTCAAATGTCAAATATACATTGGATTAGTTTCTTCTTTAAATAAAAAAAAGTACAAATATGCTTGTTATTATAATATTATATTAAAACTAAAATAATGGAAAAACCCTACAGAACCTGTAGAAGGAAAAAAAACACATCTTAAGCACACAGAAGAATAACACAAGTGGACTTTGAACTATTAATTGCTGCTTTGAACGATTACATAATTGTGTTTCATAATTGTAATCGCGATTAGAAATTAGATTAATTGTGCAACCCTAATTAAAAGTGTTATATAACCCACTGAATCATTCTCAGACTTACTGCTAACAACAATGGAACCACTCGGGACTCATTTCTTAGCAAAAAAGAGGACAATTGTACAAGAGGAATACCAAATCATTGTTTTAAGTGTGAAAATATAGCAAAAGTAACATAGAAATTCAAAAACAACGAACTTGTGACAAAGTCCCTGAAATAACTAAGCCTTCACTTTAAGGTTTCTGTGATTTTAAAAATTTTTTTGCATGGAAAAAGAGCAGGAGCATGCAAAAGTGAAATGCACGGTCTTTGTCCACACCAAAACTACCTACTGTATCGTAACGCTCTAGAGCACCTGTGGGGGATTTTGTTGAGACGGGTTGAGCAACACTACATTAAAGATCAGGGCATTTTTAGGAGATTGTCCTTCATGAGTGAATCAGGATAGATGTGACAATTTGTCATGAACTTGTACACTTCGTGCCAAGAAGGCTCAGAGCAGTATGATTAAAGTTATAGAGGACATACTAAGTACTATTTGAACTTAATCAGGGGTGTACTCATTTCTACAACCCTTCACTTAAAACTGGTGATTGTAGCACAATACATTTACAAAAATCCCATTTTTATATACATGAAATTAAAGCGTCCACATTAATGTTTCAAATAGCTTGTGAACATAAAATGTCAAAATATGGGTGAAATAATGTCCCAAGATTTAAAATGACAATTAATTTGTTTTTTGGAGGTGCACTGTGATCCTTAAATAGAGTCTTTTAATGATATCTTTAATGATTCTTGTTCGAAATATGATTGACAAGTAGGGTCGCAAAATTCCGGGAATTAACGGGAATATATGGGAATTAGCAAAATTGCAGGAACAGGGAATTTAAATCTTGCAGCATACTCAAGTTAAAATGACCAGATTGAATGCAATTGCAGTTGAATCTCTACCCTGCACATTCCTCAATCACATGCACACAGCACACACACTGCAGGGCTATTGAGGACACACACATTCCTCCAAAACACGCACAGATCATTTCTTGAATCCTGAACACAAAATGATGTCAAAATGTCCATCTTAATGAGCAATCAAGTAAATTACCTAAATATCACATAAATATGTTTAAAACTTCCTTGTGCTGTGTGTAAGCAATTGCGCAACAAAAATGTGCAATTGTAAAAACGAATACACTAACCGAGCAAACATTTAGGTGAGATAATTAAAAAAACAAAAAATGGCCCTCCCGAGTCCCGACCCATATTTTTAAACCGCTGTTATTTATTTATTAACCTGTGATACTTTTTCAGGATTTTTTGATGAATAAAACATTAAAAAAAGAACAGCAATTATTCAAAATAGCAATATTTTTTAACAATACACTACTGTTCAAAAGTTTGGGGTATGTCATTTTTTTTCTCTTTTTCTTTTTTAAGAAATGAATACTTTTATTCAGCAAGGATATGTTAAATTGACACAAAAAATGATAGTAAAGACTTATATTCTATTTTGAATTTATTTTTAAATTTAAATTTTAAAAATTTGTATTAGTTTGCATGCATGTCAGCTTATGACCAAACAAAATGTTTATATTTATGTTTGTATATGATAGTTTCTATAAATTTCCAATGAATTCCCATAAATTCCTGTTAAAGGGGTCATATGATGCTGCTAAAAAGAACATTATTTGGTGTAATGAAATGTGTTTATGCGGTTTAAAGTAAAAAAACACATTATTTTCCACATACTGTACATTATTGTTTGCCCCGCCTTTCTGAAATGCGTCGATTTTTTCAAAGCTCATCGTTCTGAAAAGCGAGGTGTGATCCGATTGGCCAGCTATCCAGTGCGTTGTGATTGGCCGAATTCCTCAAGCGTGTGACGGAAATGTTACGCCCCTCACCATACTGTGATGCCTGCGGTAACCACATGTGACAACCCCGTGCTGGACTCTGCTTCGTCTACGGTGAAAACCGATCCGGCGATCCACAGCGAGAAGTTGTTGTATTTCCTCAGCGACCCGCACGGATCAGCTCCAGGCATGACGAAGCAGATATCGTCCTCTTTTGGAAGACCAAACAAAGTAGTTTCGCTTTCACAACGAAACACAGCGACTTCACGACATGGCGGCAGCGGCAACAACAATACTACAGCGAGAATAAAAGTTACGCCTTCTTTCTTTGTGTGAACATTTGGGCGGCGTTATGCAAATCTTCCCACATAGTGACGTAGATATGTGGGGGGCGTGTTAGAACGAGCTGTTTTAGGTAGGTGTGGTTGAGTCTTAACTTTTATAAAGAATATCTCTTTGGATTTGAGACTTTAGTCTTTGCAACTTTACAGATCTTCTTTATGCACCAAGAGCTTGTAACACTCCAAAGAGAAAGGAACAATTGAAATCGCATCATATGACCACTTTAAATTTACAACTCGGAATATTTCCAAAATTCCCCAGAACAAGTTCCCAAGGAGTTTCCGGCCCCTTACTCACAAAATTACATTTTAGTAGTAATAACGTTTCCTAACCTAACCTAAAAACAATTAGGCCAACGTATATTATAGTC